ACTCTTCACAGATGCTGCCAGACCTGCTGAGCTTTTCCAGCAACTTCTGTTTTTGCTCCTCATTTACAGCATCCACAGTTCTTTTGGCTTTTATGACGTACTGCTGGGGCTGTATGAGGCTTTGGTCAGATCTTACTTGAAATATTGTGAGCAGTTTAGGCCCTGTATCTAAGGCAGGATGAGCTGGCATGGGGGGTGGGGGAGGGGGTCCAGATGAGTTTCACAAGAATGATCCTGGGAATGAAGTGTTTGTCTCATCAGGAGAGGTTAAGGAATCTGGGTCTGTATTTAATGGAGTTTAGAAGGATGAGGGGGGAATCTCAGAAGTTTACAGAATAATGAGAGGTCTGGACAGAGTCAGATGGAGAAGATGTTTCCACCTCTGGCCGTTCACTCTCCCCCAGCAGAATGTCCTGGTCCATGACATTCTTTATCCTGGCACCAGGGAAACATTTTACCATCCTGCAGTCAAGTTGATAGCTGTGGAAATGTCCCTCTGATCCCCTGATATGGAATACTCTATCATTAATGGTCTTTCATTCTTGAAAGATGTTAAAGACTTGGAGGGAGTTCAAAGGAAATTTACTAGAATGATACCAGGAATGAAGGATTTTAGTCAAAAGGAAAGATTAGAGAAATTGGTTTTATTCTCCTTGGAGCAGAGAAGATTAGAGGTGACCTTATTGATGTGTTCAAAATGATGAACAATTTTGACAGGGTAAAGAATGATATTCTGTTTCCTCTTGTTGGTATGTCAGTAACTAGGGTCACAATTTCAAGACTGTCAGCAAGAGAGCTAGGAGTGTGATGAGGAGGAACTTTACTCAGAGAGTTATTAGGATTTGGAATGTGCTTCCTGGAAGAGTGGTGGAGGTGGATTCCATAGAAGGTTTCAAAAGAGAGCTGGATATATATTTGCAAGTGATGAAGTTAGAGGGCTGCAGAGATAAGGCTGGAGAGTGCGTCTAGCTGGTTATCTCTTTTGGGAACTGATTGAGACATAGTGGGTTGAAAGGCCTCCTTCTGTACTGTAAAATACTATGATTCTTTCTCCTCCCTATACAGTTGAATTGAATGTGGTGGCTCTGATTCAGCTTTGGCTGTAATTCCTTCATCAGCATCCAAAATGGAATACCAATTAGCGAGGAAGATTCACTCAAGGGATTTCTGCACTGCTTGCCTGGTATACTTAAACTGCCAGGTGATCACCCATTACCTTGCTACCTGTACACTTTTAACTTGCAGTATGACCACCTCCCTAAACATGCTACCGTGCTGTTTATGGATGAACAAGAGCGACTCCAGCCGCTGCTCAAGTTTGAAAATCTGGAGTTTAAGCTTGTGCAGCTGGTGACATTTCCTTCAGATATGTTCGTATGGGACACATGGTGGTCCATGATTTACATTTACTGCAGAAGGTACACTCAACTTGGTCATGCTGACCTGCCATCCTGTAACTTTTAAAACTATTTGTAGATTAACATAGTAGAAAATCTTACCAATACTCATTAATCAGCCTCTTATAACTTGTAGTCTTCAAAATTATTCCCTGTATATCCATGTTGAGGCCATTAATGCATGTCAAAAAGAAAACCCTTAATACTGACCTTTTCAAATACTTCTGTATACTTGCCTCCAGTCTGAAAAATAAGCGTTAACTAGTTTGACAAGAACAAAATGCTGAAATAAATAGAAACTGTAGGAAATGCCCAGCAGATCTAGTGTGAGGCAAAAGAATGGCTGAATTTTCACATTGGCAATTAAAATGCGGTTTTTTTTCTTTATTCATTCATGGATAAGGGTATCGCTGGCTAGGCAGCATTTGTTGCCCATCCCTAATTGCTCAGAGGGCAGTTAAAAGTCAACCACATTGTTCTGGGTCTGGAGTCACATGTAGGCCAGACCAGGTTAGGATGGCAGCTTCCTTCCCTAAAGGACATTAGTGAACCAGATGGGTTTTTCCAACAATTGACAATGGATTCATGGTCATCATTGGGCTCTTAATTCCAGATATTTTATTGAATTCAAATACCACCATCTGCCGTGGCGGGATTCAAACCTGGGTCCCCGGAACATTATCTGGGTCACTGGATTAACAGTCCAGCAATAATACCACTAGGCCATCACCTCCCTGTGGCAAGTGAGTTTCGTGATGTCCACGCCACCATGGTCCAGGACAAATTTTCTTTCACCATCTTCTGCTTTTCACCTCAATATTTATATAAGTGGGATGTTTGGGGTGTGTTCCTCAAATTCCTTCTAATTTTCATGCTTCTAGTGCCATATTTAAACCCAGCTGGGTACCACTTCAGATCCTGCAAGCCAAGAACAAACCTTCACACTATGTTCTTTGGCCCTAAGAGTTAACACTCTCTGCTTAGTAGACAGAAATTTGGAGTTATTGTTGGAGAGTGGTTCAATTTCCTTCCTTGCAGACCGCTACTAGAGGCTATGCCATCTGACACAGCCCGTGTGGACAGAAACTGCAACACTAGTCATTGTGGTGTACCATGTGAAGTGGCATTCTGTGCTCCATAGGGATAATTTCAACATTTTCTTTCTCTGCTACCTGTAATCTGTTTACTGTGTATCTGCAGGCACATGCTGCAGCTCTGATGTTGACCTGGTACAGCACCACACGGTGACATATAAGTACCGTCTGGCTAACAATTTATGTCACAAGCTGCCTGCCTCTCTCTCTGCATTAAAAAGTTGACTCACCTGCGGAGGCTTTCAGCCTGTAGTGCACTGTTTGAGGTCTGGTGCACTAAAAAAATGTCATCCACACAAAGGCTGGATGTATCCAAGTAAGCGCTAATGTCAGTGAGTGCTAACAAAGCAAACTAAGAAACATAAGATGCAAGTGTCCATACGAGTGCAAAAGCATGTGTAGATGTGTGAGATGCATTTTCTGAAGAAGGGTCTAGGCCCGAAACGTCAGCCTTCCTGCTCCTCTGATGCTGCTTGGCCTGCTGTGTTCATCCAGCTCTACACCTTGTTATCTGAGATGCATGGTTGTCCTTTTGTAGGTGATGTCTTACAGAAGTCTGCAAATTGTAGGTGTCACACAGCTCCAAATTAGAGTGTTGAAGGTCAGAAGCAGTGGCTGAGTTTGTCTGAGGGCAGGCATAATATTTGGTGAGGCTGGTGGTTTGTTGATGCTGGCTTGCGTGATGAAGGGTCAAGAAGGATAATGGCCATGGTAGATGCAGGGACTTTGAGCAGAAGAACCAGTCGTATGATGGTGGAGACTAGTTTCCACTTAGCTGCAACTGCTAAGTACACGCTCTGTTTTACCGATTAAATTTTATGATTTTTTTTACTAAAAGAAAGGCGAATTGGAAATGCAATGAGAATGAGTATGTAACTATTCATCACTAAGGAGTGAGACTCTGAAATCAGCTTTAAGGATTGAGGGGAAAATCGTGCAGGATTCACTTGACATTGAAAATGTGATTTTTTTTCGTACTCACCCTGTTTACTCAACTCACTTGCCTTTGTTCTTGCTACGAGGGAGGCAATATTCTGCCGATGTTTTCCACTTTATTTTATATTCACTACTCCTTCCTGTCTGTTGTCCCATAGACAATGTATCTGCTCTTTTTCATGCCAAAGGCTTTATTTCTGCTAACCAGTCCATAATGTCATACTTTGACTAATGCCTTTTGAAAGATTTGAATTTCTTTATGACCTAAGAACTTTGAAGATGTTTCTCCTCTCTTCTGCTGTATATCATCAGAGTATAATAGATATTGGTAACACACAGTTGCTGCTCACAGACTGTAGTGTCTTTCAGTCTCTCTACCTAATGTTTTATAGCCTCCCCTTATTATATCCATAATTTGCAGTGTCACCTTTCAGACAATAGAATTGATCTTTGAAGAAGGCAATTTACACAATGATTTCTGATGTAGATTGGAACACCAAGGTACAGAATGTAAAGATTATCACTAGTGAGCTCCGGTCAAAATTAACTACTGACACAATACGAAGGAATAATTCTGAATTAGTTTAATTAGAACATGCTGAAACTTGACATCTTATTTATATACTTGTGTTTTTTTTTAATCAGGATATTAGTAAGCTCCCCTCTATATACCACTGACAACAGACATTACGGGAGAATAGAGAAATGCTATCTAAAAAGAAAATTATGTGAAGCTATCAAACTCACAGGTAATCCCTATCAGAACATGTTCACAGTTTACTCTTATTAAATTATGTGTTTAGAACTTTCTGAATGATTTTACAAGATTTTTAATGCTACAAGACCTTTGTGAGACTCAAGAAGTCCAACAATTTACATAATGTTTGTCATGGACTAGAAAATTCTTCAGAATATTGGTAACAAAGAAGAAAATGATAATTCTGAAAATGTAGACATAATAGGAAAATATAGAGGCTAGCATAGGAAACTAAAAACATTGTTAATGGAAGGTTTTTGATAGCTGGGGAAGAGATACAAGGCAAAGGACACTGTTCAGGGTGTTCCAGAGGGACTAGGTCATGTCATATGAGCAATATGTTATGAAACCAACCAGGGAGCAGGCTATCCAGGATCTGGTAATGGGTAATGAGGCAGATTTAATGAATAACCTCAGAGTGAGAAATCTCCCAGGAAGTAGTGACCATAACATGATAGAATTTAATATTCAGTTTGGGAGTGAGAAATTTGGGTCAGAAACAACTAGGTTTAATTTAAATATAGGGAATTACAATGAAATGACAAAGCAGTTAGCTAAAGTGAACTGGATGGGTAGATTAGCAGGAATGACAGCAGGCAGTGGCAAACATTTAAAGAGGTAATTCACGACTCTCAGCAAAAATACATCCCAGTAAAGATGAAAGATGGATAAACAAATGATGGCTAACTAAGGAAGTTAATAACAGTATTAAGTAGAAAAATTGAGCATAAAAGGAGGCAAAAATCGGTGATAGTCCCAAACACTATGATAAATTCAAAATGTAGCAAAGGAGGACAAAAAAGATAATAGAGATAAAATAAACAATGAGAGCAAACTAGTGAGGAATATAAAAACTGACAATAAGAAATTCTTTAACCACACAAAAAGGAAGGGAGAGGTCATAGTGAACATAGGCCCCTTAGAAAATGAACCTGGGGACACTATATGAGGGAACCAGGAAATGACAATGGATTTAACGAGGTATTTGGCATCAGTCTTTTTTTGGGAGGTACATGAACATTCCATTAATGCTAAAGAATGTAAAGGAGGAATTAATATCCTCACAATCACTAGAGAAGTAGTGTTAGGCAATTAATGAGGCTAATAACAGATAAGTCCCCTGACCCTGATGGCTTACATCCTAGGATCCTGAAAGAGGTAGCTATAGAGATAGTGGATGTATTGGCTGTAATTTTCCAAAAATCCTTGGATTTTGGAAAAGTACCAGAGACTGGAAAACTGCCAATGTCACACCCATTTTCAAAAAAGGATGAAGGCAAAAATCATATAACTGTACGTTGATTAGTCTAACATCTATTGTTGGAAAAGGATTGAAATCAATTATTAACAAAGTAATTGCAGAACATTTGGAAAATCATAACATAATCAAACAGTCAGCATGGCTTCAAGAAAGAAAATTTGTATCTGACTAATTTATTAGAGTTTTTTGAGGAAACGTAGATAGAGGGAAACCAGTAGATGTGTTGTATTTGGACTTCCAGCAGGCATTTGACAAGGCAGTTCACAAAAGGTTAAGTCATAAGAAAAGAGCTCACAATGTTGGAGGTAGTATGCTAGATAGAGAATTGGATCATGGGCAGGAAACAATGAGTGGGGATAAGGAATTCTTTCTCAAGTTGGCGACCCGTGACGAGTGTGTTCTGCAGGGATCAATGCTGGGACCGTAACTGTTTACGATATATGTTAATGACTTGGAGGAAGGAAGTGGATGTACTGTAGCCAAATTTACAAATGAAATAAAAATAAGTGGAAAGGCAAGTTGACATGGAAACAAACAAGTTACCAAGAGATATTGATCAGTTAAGTAAGTGGATAAAAGTTGGCAAATGGAGTATAATGTGGGAAAATGTGAATTTGTTTATTTTGGAATGCAGAACAAAAGAACAGAATATTATTTAAATGGAGGAAACCTGCAGAATGCTGCAACACAAAGGCACTTGGAGATACTTGTGCATGAAACACAGAAAGCTAGCACACAGGTACAGCAGGTCAGCATGAAGACTTGTGGAATGCTAGTGCTTATTTCAAGGGTTTTGGAGTATAAGAGTAGGGAACTCTTACTGCAACTGTACAAGGTGCTGGTGAGACCATATATGGAGTGCTGTGAGCAATTTTGGTCCCTTTATTGAAGGAAAGATATTGTTTCTTGAAGGCAGTTCAGAGAAGGTACACCATAATGATCCCTGGTATGGGGGAGGTGGCGTGGAATTGTCTTATGACTGAAGGCTAAACAGATTGCTACTCTGCTCACTGGAGTTTAGAAAAATGAGAGGGAACCTCATTGAAACATATAGGGTTCTTAACAGGATAAATGCTGAGAGGATGCTTCCCCACATTGGACAGTCTAGGACTAGAGGCATAGTCTCAGAATAAAGGAGTGTCAATTTAAGACAATGAAGGTTTTGAGTCTTTGGAACTCCTTGCCTCAGAGAGCTGTGGGAGGAAGGTGCTTGTGTCAGTCTAAGGCTGCGATGGATAGATTCTTGATCATTTGGGAAATCAAGGGTTATGGGGAAAGGGCAGAAAAGTTGACTTGAGGAATGTTGGATCAGCCTTGATGCTTTTAGTGGTAGAGTATGCTGGAGAGGTTGAATGGCCTACTGCTGTTTCTATTTCTTATAGTCTTATGGTTTAAGAGCAGTGATTACATTCGAAGAACAAGCAATTACCAGTGTTGGATTACAGATTGAATAGAAATATTGTTTTACAGGATCTCAGGTTTCCTGTAGGAATGCAGGTGAAGATAAAATCATCAAGGTGAAGCTGGCAACATTGGGAGAGATTTGAAAATAAATGAGGAGAAGGGTAACCATTAGAGCTTGTGTTAATGGTAATATTTGGAGAGGGGAGGTCATGATAGAGAGCATTGGAAAAGTAGATGGATGGCTTTATGAGGCATGATGGGAGGTCCCCTGGAATAGAATTGGGAGCCCAATGGAAGATCAGTAGAAGATTAAACTGAAAAGGGTAAAGTCACTGAGGTTTGTCAGAAGAAACTGAAAGTCAGGACAGAGATATCAATAATGTAGAGAGGAAAGAAAGCAGCCTTGGTAATAGCTTGCACTTGGTTGAAGAGGTTCAGCTAAATGCTAAGCATTTGTTGTCCTCTGCACCGAATTCCTACAGTGCTGCCAAATTTCCTGAACTAAGTGCTCACTCAGGCTGTGCCTCGCTGCAGATGTGATCACTGCTTCCTGACTGTGCACAGCTTACTGCTCATCTACGTTCAACGAGCCCTCCCTTAAATAGAGCTGAGATGAGCTGTGATGACACACTTGTTAAGCTTCAATAGTAATGACCATCTATTAAGGCCCTATTCAGGCTTCAGGTGATTGACTGCTACTTACTGCTCAGTTTATGCTGCATTTCGTGACAACACTGAACTGGGCAATTTTCCACATTGTAGGGTCAATCATGAACAATGGAAGGAACTGTGGACAGCTTTGGAGCAGATAAAATAATGTTAATCTTTTTTATGCATATTCATTATGTAAAGTGATAATCTCTTGATTTGTTTTTTCCAGAAGCTGAGAAATCTCGTATCAGGCCTGGCTTCTCCATGGCTGTCAGCTTTTCGCCTTCACAATTCTTGGTAAATTATGAAGTATAGCAATAATACACTTGTTAATTGAATTAAATGCCAAGAGATTAATGGGATTGTTGTAGCAAGGATACAAATTTGGCTGAGAACAGAAAGTAGAATGTGGTGGTGAATTGTTGCTTTTTTAGACTGGAGAATGTATACAGTGGTGCTCATCAGAGCTTGGTATGAGGACACTTCCCATTTAGATTATTAATGGTCAGGACTTGGGTATGCAGTGGATGATTTTAAACCTTAGGGATGATATGAAATTCTAAGATGTAGTGAGCAATGAGGCCATAGTAGGAATGAAGTAAGATGCAGGTCAATCATGTAGGGCAGACATGTGGAGATGAAATTCAATGCAGAATAGGGTGATATGATTCATTTGATAAGAAGAATGAGGAGAGTGTGAACAAAGATTTATGGTAAAAATTGAGGGTAAAGAAGAGCTGTTCACTGAGGCAGCGGGCACAAGCATGACAGGAGAGAATGCAAAGAGATTAGAAAAGTTAAAAAAAAGACAAAAGATGTAAAATATTCTGCAGGCACATAAATGAAAAAAAAGGAAAGGCAGGATGGAAATAAAACAGAGGAACATAGAATTTACGAACAGGAGAAAGTCATTTGTCTCTTCAAGCCAGCCCTGCCACTGAGTAATATCAAGGCTGATGTAATTATGGTTTGAATTCCACTTTCCTGAGCTCCCCTTGCCACTTCTTGACATTGCCTTACTCCCTCACCCCATAGTTCTTGACCAACTTATCCATCAAAAATCTCTCCAACTCTGCCTTGAAAAAGGTTCCATTGTGTCCTGGAGAAGAGAATTCCACAGATTCTGAAAAAATCTCATCTCTATCATAAAATGGAAACCATTTATTCTTAAATGGTGATGCCACATTCTATTCTCCGCCACATGAGGAAACGTCCTCCAGAAATCCACCCTACTGAGCCTTCTTATACATTTTATGAGTCTAGGAATTTAGTAATGGAAAATAAAGAGTTGGCAAGCAAATTGAACAGATATTTGTCTTCACTAGAGAGGATATGAGTAGCATACTATAAACAGTTATAAATCAGGAATTGAAAGGGAGGGAGGAAGGAAATCAAGAAAAGTAAGGGTTTCAGACATGTTACTATAATTGAATCATCTACAATCAACATCCTGGGGTAAGTAGTCACAAATTCTGCAGCAAGTGACTCACCTCCTGTCTCCTCATTTCCGGTCAGCATTTACAAGGCATAGGTCAGGAGTGTGATGGAATACTCCCCACTTGTCTGGATGAGTGCAGCTCCAACAGCACTTAAGATTGACACCATCCAGGACATGCAGTCCACTTGACTGGCATGACATCAACTCCCTCCACCACTGATGCTCAGTAGCAGCAATGTATACCATTGACAAGATGCACTGCAGCAATTCACCGAGACTCCTTCCAAACCTATGAACTAAACCATCTTGAAGACCAAGGGCTGTAGATACATGAGAACACAAGCACTTGCAAGCCACTTACCATCCTGACTTGGAACTGTAACACAGCTACATCACTATTGCTGGGACAAAGTACAAGAAGACCCTTCCTTGTAATACTTACAATTTACCAAGCATATCAAATTGGCTGATGGTAATTGTGCAGGATATTTGGGTGGGTGTGCATGGTCAGTACTGAAAAGGACTACAACATATTAATAGATTAATTGAAGAATGGGATGTAATGAATAAAAGAACTTCAGCACAGGTTAAGTGTGAAGTATTATCTATTGGTTTGTTAGATTAGGAGTCACACTATTCCTTAGAAGGTAAGGATTGAATTCTAACCCAGAGGCTGAAGATGCAATGCTGGGGCCACAAACAGGTGGTGCCCCTGTTTATGCTGGCAGGAGACCCAGGGAAGCATTTCTCCTGTTGTGATCAATTAATATATGGAGATTTCCCATTAAGAGTTGCCAGCCACTCAATGCAATATGATCAATATCCTGGGGGTTATCACTGACCAGAAACTGAACTGGACTAGCCATTAAATACAAAAACTGAAATTGCTGGAAAGGCTCAGCAGGTCTGACAGCAACTGTGAAGAGAAATCAGAGTTAACGTTTTGGGTCCAGTGACCCTTCCTCAGAACGGTTTTTATTTAACTATTATTTGGGGTATAGAACATAGAACCGTACAATACAGGAATGGACCCTTCGGCCCACAACGTTGTGCTGGACAAATAAAACTAATCCCTTCTGCCTGCCCTTGGTCCATATCCCTCCATTCCTTGCATATTCATGTGCTTATATAAAAGTCCCTTAAATGCCCCTATTGTATCTGCCACCACCATCATCCCTGACAGTGCATTCCAGACTCTCTGTGTAAAAAAACTTGCCCCTTACATCTTCTTTGAACTTCCCCCTCTCACCCTAAATGCATGCCCCTGAGTATTAGACATTTCAACTCTGGGAAAAAGATTCTGACCATCAACCCTATCTATGCATCTCATAATTTTATTGACTTCTATCGAGTCTCCTCTCAGCCTGCGATGTTCAAGAGAAAACAACCCAGGTTTTTCTAGCCTCTCCTTATAGCTCATACCCTCTCATCCAGGCAGCATCCTGGTCAACCTCTTCTGCACCCTCTCCAAAGCCCCCCATTCCTTCCTGTAATGCGCTGACCAGAATTGGATGCAATACTCTAAATGTGGCCTGTACTGTGGCTGTAAGAAATGGTCAGACATTTGGAATCCTGTAGTGAGTAACTCACCTCCCCATTAGCTTGGATGTTTGCAGCTTTAGCAATACTCAAGAAGGTGGACACCATTCAGGGTGAAACAGCCTGCTTATCTGACACCACATACACAGCATTCAGTCTCTCCACCACTGACATTACGGAGCAGCTGTTGTGTACGATCTACAAGATGCACTACAGAAATTCACCAAGGCTCCTTAGTCAGCACTTTCCAAACCCAAAACCGCCACTGTCTAGAAGGAAAAGGCTCATAAATACACAGGAGCATTTGCAAATTGACCTCCAAGCTAGTCACCATCTTGACTTGGAAATATATTGCCATTCCTTCAGTATCGCAGTGTCACAATCCAAGAGCTTCGTCCCTTACAGTATTTTGGGTCTACCTGCACTAAATAGATTGCAGCAGATCAAGAAGGCAGTTCACCACCACCTTCTTAAGGGAAACTAAGGATGGGCAATAACTGCTGACTGAGCCAATCACGGCCACTTCCTATGAACGAATTATTTTAAAAAATGGCTTAGTTGGACTCTTTCTGTCTGGTCTATCTGCTAGTTTTACTTCATTACCAATGATATGATGGCAGATAGATGTTGGTTTGCCAGTCTACACTCCCTACAGCCCATCACCAAGGGACTGATAAAATTCAAGGAGCAAAGGGATTCGGGGCTACAGATACACAAAGCATTAGATGTAGTCTAGCTCGAATTAAAAAACTGAAAGAACTCCAGATGCTGGAAATCAGAAGTCCTGAAGATGGGTCACTGAACTGAAAACATCAATTCTGATTTCACTCCACAGATGTCGCCAGGCCTGCTAAGTTTTTCCAGCAATTTTTGTTTTTGTTTCTGTGGCTTGAATGAATTTCCAGTTTCTGTGCTTTAACTTCCATCTAATTCCTTTTACTGGAGGGAAAAAATATACAGGGTTACAGGCAAACTGGGATTAGAATTAGAAGTAGGTTTTATCGTCATGTGTACTCAAGTGCAGTAATACAGGAGGATAGCAAAAAGTTTATGATGTCACCACCACACAGTGCCATTTAGGCACAAGGTACCTAGGTACAAATCATAGGTAAAGAGTAGGAAAGTAAAGAAATAAGTTAAATGTTCAATATTACAGTTCTTGTCAGTATAAAGTAATAAATAAGAACATAGAACATAGAACAGTACAGCACAGTACAGGCCCTTTGGCCAACCTATTATCCTACTAAGATCAATCTACCCTGCATACCCTACATTTTACTATCCTCCATGTGCCTATCCAAGAGTCGCTTAAATGTCTCTAATGTATCTGACTTCACTACCACTGCTGGCAGCACATTCCACACACCCACCACTCTCTGTGTAAAGAACCTACCTCTGACATCTCCCACATACCTTCCTCCAATCACCTTAAAATTATGCCCCCTCATAATAGTCATTTTCGCCCTGGGAAAATGTCTCTGACTATCCACTCTATCTATGCCTCTCATCATCTTGTAAACCTCTATCAAGCCACCTTTCATTCTTCTTCGCTCCAATGAAAAAAGCCCTAGCTCCCTCAATCTTTCCTCATAAGACCTGCCCTCCAGTCCAGGCAGCATCCTGGTAAATCTCCTCTTCACCCTCTCTAAAGCTTCCACATCTTTCCTATAATGAGGTGACCAGAACTGAACACAATATTCCAAGTGTGGTCTAATCAGGGTTTTATAGAGCTTCAGCATAACCTCACGGCTCTTAAACTCAATTCCCCTGCCATGAAAGACAACACACCATACGCCTTTTTTACAACCCTATCAACTTGGGTAGCAACTTTGAGGGATCTATGGACGTGGACCCCAAGATCCCTCTGTTCCTCCACACTGCCAAGAATCCTGTCATAAAGAAGCAAGGTTAAAAGTTCCAAATTACAGTTCTTCTTTAGCCACGGGCTTGCAGTTGCTCCACACTGGCCTTTTCTCACCAGGCACAACCTCTTTCCCACACTTGACTTAATCTCTCAATCCCCATGCCTCCATGCTGCCATCTCGCCACTGACTGCCATCCTCTCTCTCCCATACTGGCAGGGGACTGGAATTAGTTAGAGTTCAATAGAATTGACCAAGCACAGTAGTCTAAATTGCCTTTTACTGTACTTTAATTGCCTATTATGTTGAATTTATGCTTTCTGTTACTCTTCCTCAGCCTCATTCTAATGGTTAGCTGAGAGATTTATCACACTATTGGAACAGTAAAGGCCCCACTTATTATACACCATTATAATGTGGATTTTACTGTGACTTTTGAAGAAATGACTGAAAACTAACAACTATAATAATTACAGCTGTGTCGACAACATCAGAAAAGGCTTAGTAAGACCAGTGAAAATTTGAATGGAGTCTGCACAATCCTGTCTCCAGAACTACAAGAAATATATTCTTTTGAACCTGCCTCTTTGGGTGTGTATAAATCAGTTCTATTTCTCTTGCATATTAATTAATGATTATACTCAACAGGTTCTGAATTCAAAATAAAAACTGAAAGAACTGTGGATGCTTGAAATCAGAAACAAAAACAGAAATTGCTGGAAAGGTCACTGGACCTGAAATGTTACCTCTGATTTCTCTCCACAGATGCTGCCAGACCAGCTGAGCTTTTCCAGCAATTTCTGTTTTAGGTTCTGAATTCTCTTGACTATTAAAAAAAAAACTTCTGAAAAGTCCTGAGTGGGAATGAATGGCTGATCTGTCATTTTCCTTGATCATTTTTGGGAACTCAGAAGTGGCTTGATACAATCTCCCTTGGGAAATAAATAAGTGGAGATCCCATTTGGAGAGAATTCTGTAAGCTTTCTGGGAGGATTGGATTCTTGGATTGAACAATCTTTTCTAACCCAGGTCAGTTACTAGGTGGACTCTACCAAGAAATTACTTTCTGAATGTCCCAAAAGCAACATAAAAAATTAACTGACACTGACAAGAAGGGAATGTCATTGAAGTGTTCTAATGACACATAGAATGTTAAAGGGCTCTACGTCTGAAACTCAGTGTTCAAGCTTGAAGCATTATCAGAGAGAGGAAACATTAGGTATTCTAAATCATTCAGAAATAGCAAGAACTGCAGATGCTGGAGTCAGAGATAACACAGTGTGGAGCTGGAGGAACACAGCAGGCCAGGCAGCATCAGAGGAACAGGAAAGTTGACATTTCATGTCGGGACCCTTCTTCAGAATCATGATCCGTTCTAAATCATGATGTGTCAACTCCCTGGTGCCAGGTTTCAAAAATATCTCTGAGCAGGCACAGGGTATTCTGAAGGGGGAAGGTGAACAGCCAGAGTTTGAGGTCTGTATTGGTATGAACAACATAGGTGGGAAGAAAGATGAGATCCTGCAGAAGGAGTTCAGGGAGTTAGGTAGAAATTTGAAAAGAAGTCCTCCAGCGCTGTAATCTTGGGATTCCTTCCTGTACCATGTGCCAATGAGGCTTGAAGTAGGAAGATAGTACAGTCAAATATGTGGCTAAAGAGATGGTGTAGGAGGGAGGGCTTCAGGTACGTGGATCATTGTCTTCTGGGGCAGGTAGGACCTATACAAGAAGGATGGGTTGCATTTAAACTGCAGGGACACCAATATCCTGGCAGGGAGTTTTGCCAGTGCCACTCAGGACAGTTTAAGCTAGTGTGGCACTGGGGAGAACCAGAGCAGTAGGTCAGCATCTAAAATGACTGAGGAGAGGTCAGGGACTAAGGCCAGAGAAGCTAAGAAGAACAGACAGGGAGAGGTTACTGAACACAGCAGGACTGTCAGTCTGAGGTGTATTATTTTCAATGCAAGGAATATGACAGGTAAGGCGGATGAATTTAGAGCTTGGATTAATACATATAACTGTAATGTTGTAGCTATTTCAGAGACTTGAGGTTGAGAGAGGGACAAAACTTGCAACTTAACATTCTGGGATTTAGATGTTTTTGGCGAGATAGAGAGGAGTGTAAAAGAGGTGGGGCATTGCGTTACTGATGAGGTAGAACATCACAGCTGTATTGAGGGAAGACATCTTAGAAACCTCATCCAGTGAGGCCAGTACAGGTAGAGCTCAGGAATAAAAAAGGTAGAATCACTTTAGAACAAAGAATAAAGAAATTTACAGCACAGAAACAGGCCCTTCGGCCCTCCAAGCCTGCGCTGATCCAGATCCTCTATCTAAACCTGTCATCTATTTTCCAAAGATCTGTATCCCTCTGCTCCCTGCCCATTCATGTATCTGTCTAGATACATCTTAAATGACGCTATCGTGCCCGCCCCTACCACCTCCGCTGGCAACGCATTCCAGGCACCCACCACCCTCTGCATAAAGAACTTTCCACGCGTATCTCCCTTAAACTTTTCCCCTCTCACCTTGAAATCGTGACCCCTAGTAATTGAGTCCCCTACTCTGGGAAAAAGCTTCTTGCTATCCACCCTGTCTATACCTCTCATGATTTTGTAGACCTCAATCAGGTCCCCCCTCAACCTCTGTCTTTCTAATGTAAATAATCCTAATCTACTCAACCTCTCTTCATAGCTAGTGCCCTCCATACCAGGCAACATCCTGGTGAACCTCCTCTGCACCCTCTCCAAAGCATCCACATCCTTTTGGTAATGTGGCGACCAGAACTGTACACAGTATTCCAAATGTGGTTGAACCAAAGTCCTATACAACTGTAACATGGCCTGCCAACTCTTGTACTCAATACCCCGTCCGATGAATGAAAGCATGCCGTATGCCTTCTCGACCACTCTATCAACCTGCGTTGCCACCTTCAGGGTACAATGGACCTGAACACCCAGATCTCTCTGTGCATCAATTTTCCCCAGGGCTTTTCCATTTACCATATAGTTCGCTCTTGAATTGGATCTTCCAAAATGCATCACCTCACATTTGCCTGGATTGAACGCCATCTGCCATTTCTCCGCCCAACTCTCCACTCTATCTATATTCTGCTGCATTCTCCGATAGTCCTCTTCACTATCTGCTACTCCACCAGACTTAGTATCATCTGCAAACTTGCTAATCAGACCATCTATACCTTTCTCCAGATTATTTATGTATATCACAAACAACAGTGGTCCCAACACGGATCCCTGTGGAACACCACTGGTCACAGTTCTCCATTTTGAGAAACTCCCTTCCACTACAACTCTCTGTCTCCTGTTGCCCAGCCAGTTCTCTATCCATCTAGCTAGTACACCCTGGACCCCATGCGACTTCACTTTCTCCATCAGCCTACCATGGGGAACCTTATCAAACGCTTTACTGAAGTCCATGTATATGACATCTACAGCCCTTCCCTCATCTATCAACTTTGTCACTTCCTCAAAGAATTCTATCAAGTTGGTAAGACATGACCTTCCCTGCACAAAACCATGCTGCCTATCACTAATTAGCCCATTTTCTTCCAAATGTAAATAGATACTATCCCTCAGTATCTTCTCCAGCAGCTTCAACATTAGCAATTCTCCAGTCCTCCGGGACCTCACCCGTGTTCAAGGATGCTGCAAAGATATCTGTTAAGGCCCCAGCTATTTCCTCTCTCACTTCCCTCAGTAACCTGGGGTAGATCCCATCCGGACCTGGGGACTTGTCCACCCTAATGCCTTTTAAAATACCCAACACTTCCCCCCTGCTTATGCTGACTTGACCTAGAGTAATCAAACATCTATCCCTTGTCTCAAAATGCGTCCTGTCCCTCTCCTCGGTGAATACCGATGCAAAGTACTCATTAAGAATCTCACTCATTTTCTCTGACTCCTCGCATAACTTCCCTCCTTTGTCCTTGAGTGGGCCAACCCTTTCTCTAGTTACCCTCTTGCTCCTTTAATGGGGTTGTACTGTAGGCCTCCTACCAGCCAGCGGCAGATAGAGGAATAGAGACATGGGATACATTATGGAAAATTGTAAATACAACAGGGTTGTTATGGTGGGTGATTTTAACTTCCTCTATATCAACTAGGACTTGCTTCGTGCCAGGGTTTGGATGGATGGAATTTGTTAGGTGTGTCCAGGATGGTTTTTTGAAATAATATGTAAATAGTCCAACTGGGGAAGGGGCTATACGAGACCTGATATTTGGGAATGAGCCCAGTGAGTTGATCTAAGTTTCAGTGGTGGAGCATTTCGTGAATAGTGGCCATAATTCTGTCAGTTCCAAGTTACTTATGGATAAAGAGAAGAGCAGGTCCTCATTGAAGACTCTAAACTGGGTAAAGGCTAACTACCACAATATTAGGCTGGAACTGGAGAAAGTATATTGTGTAGTGATTATAATGAGGTCAGCCGGCTGGACCTCAGAGTGTGAGTTCCCTGATTGGGGTTGTTGATCTGGTCCAATCAGGGAACCCTGGCTGACAGATCAAAAGAGGAGTGTTAGAGATTCTGACACTCGGAGAACTGGCTCTGAAGAGGCAGTACTAGAGTCAAGGACTGTTCATGTGTAAATAAAAGGTGAATTGATGAAGGGATACCGGACTCTGTGGAGTTATTTCAGATTGGGGATAGCTGTTTGAGGATAAATCCACATCTGGCATTTGTGAATCTATTCAAGGCCAGTTGATTGGAGTTCGGGACCAGCATGTTCCTGTGAAAATAAAGGAAAAGTACGGCAAGAATCTGGAATCTTGGATGACAGAGATATTGAGAGTTTAGTTAAAAAGAAAAAGAAGGCATACGTAAGGTTTAGGAAACAGAAGCAAGACAGAGCCCTTGAAGAATACAAGTAAAACAGGAATGAACTCAAATGAGGAATTTAAGGAGGGCTAAAAGGAGCCATGAAATATCTTTGGCAAGCAGGATTAAGGAAAATCCCAAGGTATTTCATACACATATAAGGAGTAAGAGCGTAGCTTGGGAAAGGGTAGGTCCACTCAAGGACAAAGGAGGGAAATTATGAATGGAGCTGGAGGAAGTGGATGAGGCCCTTAATGAATAATTTGTATTGGTATTCACAAAGGAGAAGGACTTGATGGATGGTGAGTCTGGGGAGGGGTATATTGATATTCCAGGGCATGTCAATATGGAAAAGGAAGAAATGTTGGGTGTTTTGAAAATTATTAAGGTAGATAATACCTACGACCTGATGGGATCTATCCCAGAATGCTGAGGGAGGCAGGTAAGAAAATTGCAGGGCCCTTGTACGAAACCTTTTTATCCTCTTTAGTCAAAGGAGAGGTGCCAGATGACTGGAGAATAGCCAACTTTGTTCCTTTGTTTAAGAAGAGCAATAAGTATAATCCAGGAAATTACAAGCTGGTGAGCCTTATTTCAGTGGTAGGGAAATTATTGGAGAAGATTCTTGGGGATAGGATTTACTCACATTTATAAAACACGGACCTATTAGGGACAGGTAACAAAGTTTTGTGTGGGGAAGGTCATATTTCACAAACTTGATTGAGCTTTTTGAGGAATTGACAAAGATGGTTGATCAGGGCAGGGTGGTAGATGTTGTCTACATGGACTTTTGCAAGGCCTTTGACAAAGTCCCTCATGGCAGGCTGATACAAAAGCTGAAATCACATGAGATCCATGGTGAGCTGGTAAGATGGATACAGACCTGACTGACTCATAGAAGGCAGAGAATAGTAGTGGAAGGGTGTATTTCTGATGAGAGATATGTGACTAGTAGTGTTCCACAGGGATCAGTGCTGGGACCCCTGTTGTTTGTAACATACATAAATGATTTGGAGGAGAATGTAGTTGGTCTGATGAATAAGTTTGCAGATGACACAAAGATTGAGGGAGCTGTGGATGGTGAGGAGGATTGCCAGAGGATACTATAGGATAGAGATAGGCTGGAGACTTGGGCAGAGAAGTTGGAGATGGAGTTAAATCCAGACAAATGTGAGATGATGCATTTTAGAAGATCAATTGCAAGAGGGAAGTATACAGTAAATGGCAGAACACTTAGTAGCATCAAAATGCAGAGGGATCTAGGTGTACAGCTCCACAGTTCCCTGCAAGTGGTAACACAAGGAGCTAAGGTTGTCAAGAAAGCAAATGGCATGCTAGCCTTCATTGGTTGGGGCATAGAGCGTAAAAATTGGCAAGCCATTTTGCAGCTGTAAAGAACTTTAGTTAGGTCGCATTTTGAATATTGTGTTCAGTTTTGGTTGTCACACCAGTAGAATGATGTGGAGGCTTTAGAGAGGACACAGAAACAGTTTACCAGGCTGTTGCCTGGTTTGGAGGATATTAGCTATGAGGAGAGATTGAATAAACTGGGTATGTTTTCAGCAGAACATTGAAGGCTGAGGAGCAATCTGATCAAAGTTTACAAAATTACAGAGTCTTTTTCCCAGGGTAATGATATCAATTACTAGGGGACATAAGTTTAAGGTAAAAGGGGAAAAGCTTAATGGAGATGTGAGAGGCAAGTTTTTT